ATAAGTATATATTTATATATTCCATATAGACACATGCACACACATATACACACATGTGTATATATACATTAGCCATGTGAGACTGAGCTCATATGTAATTTATATATGTAAATATACATGCATATATATATTTATATGACTGGCACATAGCAAGTGGTGTGGGGGTCATGATGATTTCAGTGGGAACTTCTGAAATATTGCAATTAATTTCCACTTAGAGATCCAGAAGTTGGTGGCTTTGGACACTCTTTCTAGTCTTTGAGATAAGGCCTATGGAAGAGGAAAAAATACAATCAATCTCAAGGTCACAAGGGAAGGAACTAAAATTCGATATTCCTGTTTAGATGTAGAGATCTCCTACAAATCACGTCTTACATCTTCACTCCTAAAGACCTTCCCATGCTATTAGTAAGAGTAATAGTTCACGTTCACATGGCAAGTCCAAGTGTGTGAAGGGCTTTTCAGAGATTATCTTGTTTAAACATCACAACCACCCTAGGGGATAAGTGACTATTTTACAGATGAAGAAACTGAGGCAAACAGAGGTGAAATGACCAGCCCAGGATCACACAGCTAGTAAGTATCTGAAGCTAGATTTGGACTTGAGTCTTCCTGGCAAGTCTACTGATCTGTCCATCACAGCCCCCAAGTGCCTATTCAGACAGAACAGATGATCATGTTGATTCTTAGCAGATTCTCTGTGTGTGTGGTGCTGGTGAATAAACTTAAGATACTGAAATTAAGCCAAACCATCTCACATATGGCCATCGGACACTTTCACTGACATTTGGACAGGGTCATTTGGAAACTGACAGATGTAGGCATAATAGCCATGTGGAATGAAACATTGATGGTAAGAGCACTGGATCTGCAGTCCAAAGTCCTGGATTTGAATCCTGATTTGGCCTGTGTGACACTGGACATGTCATTTCAATTTTCTAGGCCTCAGTTTCCTCATCTTTAGAATGAAGGGGTGAGATTAGATGACTGCTAAGGTCTGTCCCAGCTCTGTGGCTGGGATGTCACGAACACTATTAGTAAAACATATTATTTTGATCAAATACAAAAGACCAATGACTGGTAGCTGTTGCTCACAATCCATCTCCTTCCCCTTGCTAGTCTAGCCTAGGTGTCCCCTCCCCCATCAGGCCACTGGAGCCTCTCTGACCTCTCCATTGGTTTTTCTCTATCCTCAGCCTTCCTCACCTCTTTGCAGCACCAGACACAGCTGACCACTGTGCTCTCCTTCCTGGGGCTTTGGGGCCCCGCTCTCTCCTGGTTCTCCTGCCACTCTGCCCCACATCCTCAGTATTGCTTATAGCTCATCACACACCCTTCCTCCAACCCATCCTCCACATGGCTGCCAATGGGACATTCCTAAAGCACAGACCTGACCTGTGCAGGCAGGTCCAGGGGCTCTCTCTGGCCACTGGGATAAGAACCAAACTTCTGTGTTTGTTTGGCTTTTAAAGCCTTTCCCCATCCAGCTTTAGGCTGCTCATTCCTTCCCTCAAGGGTCCTGGCCCCTCACCTGTTTCTAGGCCTTTCCCCTGGCGGCCTGGAATGCACTCCCTCCCCACCTCCACTCTTCTCAATCCCTACCAGAGTCTAGTCTTGCTCGGGGCACTTGCTAGGGTCTCCTGACCCCCAAAATTATCTTTGTATGTATTTCCCATTGACTTTTCAGTGGATGGGTTGTTTCCTCCCAATAGAAGGAAAGGACTCTTCTGTTTTGTATCCCTAATACCCAGCACAAAGTCGGGTGCTCAAAAGGCTCCTGATGATGCATGACTGGAACTCAGGGCTGAGTTGTCTGCACAGAGATGATCCAAAGGACCTTGATGAAGCCTCCAAAGGAGAGGACAGAGAGCAGAGGAGGAGGGACCAGGAGGGAGCACTTGGGAATATCCCTGCTAAGCTAGCAGAACACTGATGATCAAAGCAAAGGAGGCTGGGAAGGAATGACCAGAGGGGTAGGAAGAAAGGCAGGAGGGTAGTGGCCCAAGCCATGCAAGGCCAGAGGGTCATCTTCCCCAACAAACCAAACCAAACAACCTAAATGTCTTTTTTTTTTAAACAAATAAGTTTGAGCAAATGAAACAGAGCCACACCTTCGGCTGTGCTGGAAAACAAATGTGCCATTTGGAACCTTTAAGTTGGCCTACTACTTGTTGACTAAATCAGGCTTGCCTAGGGTAAAAGTAACTAGTAACGTTGTCAACAGGATCATATATTGTTGGTGCTTTCATGCTGTGAACTAGGTCCAATCTGAAAAGGAATTTGGAACAAGGCTCCCAAAGCTATGCACCCCCTTTGGCCCAGTGATATCACTGCTAGGTGTCATAGAGGTCAAACAAGGAGGAAATGGACCCATATGTACAAAAATATAGCAGTTCTTTTTGAGGTGGCGAAAAATTGGGAACTTGGGGGGGGGTGTCCATTAATGGGGAATGGCTGGACAACTTGTTGTATATGAATGTAATGGAATACTATTGAGCTATAAGAAATGATGAGCAGGCTGACTTCAGAAAAACCTGGAAAGACTTGTATGGTCTGATGCTGAGTGAAGTGAGCAGAACCAGGAGAACGTTGTACACAGTAACAGTCATGTTGTGCGATGACTAACGTTGATAGACTTAGCCCTTCTCAGCAGTGCAAGGATCTTAGATGTCCCCAAAGGTCCCATAATGGAAAATGCTATCCACATCCAAAGAAAGAACTATGAATGCAGATCGAACCATTATATCTTTTGAGTAGAAAGGACATGGACACCATATTGATTTTTACTTCATTATTGAGGCATTCCCACAAAGCAGTTTCTTAGGGGGAGTCTTTTAAGTCCTTGGGATACCCATTTTTCTAATTTGCTCATCATTTAAAAGAAAGTAATGCTGAGAATGTTGTGGTGCAGCATAAATGGTTCAAGCGGAGCTAGGCTGTAACCTAGATGGTCACTAACTTTTTTTTTTCAACACTCATCACTCCTATAAAGGATTATTCTTTAACTAGATTGTAAATGTGTATTCTGAATATGTCTGTCAGACTTACAGGATGGTTGTGCAATTAGGAAATGAAACACTATCTACCAAAGTCATCCTCTGAGTTAGGCTAGTAATTTCTCTCTCTCTTTAGATGTGTCTCTAGGCAGGAATTTCATCTGTAGTTAATGTATTGTTATCAACCAAAAAAGAAATTGTTTCACTCAGACTTTACCTTTGGGTTAATCAGTCATCAATGATTTTCCCTCTCATATGTTCCACAACCCATCTAATCTCTTACCTTTGTTTAATAAACAAACAAATAAAACATGAATCATAGGTAAAGAAAATGTTAGCAAATTCATAGTGAGCCAAGCTTGTCTCTTGACTTTTCCCCCTTAGGTTGTACTTATTCCAGTGCAGATGTTCCCATCCTACAGTATACATTCCCCTGGGGATGTATAGGAGATATTTTGATTTGATTTTTTGGAATTGATTTCCAAGCAATTTTTCTTTCTGTGTCAAAATTGTTTTCATTTTATTCTACATACTTTAATTTCAGAATAAAATAAACAAATAGACCGCAACATACAACATCCTATCCCTGCTTGTATACAGTGAAGAACATCAGGAAAAAAAACCCCTCTAGACATTGGTAGATGGAGCCAGGCAGGACAGGGCCTGCTTAAACACAAGAGTCGCAACATTTTTGCACATGAAGAAGGATATCCCAGTCTTACTACATGTGCTCCAAGGCTTTAATTATTTTATTTTTATGTGCCTATGTATAGAAAGCACTTTTAATACTGAAAAGGGCGGATTTACTGAAATCCAAGGGCTATGAGGACAGAAAAAGGTTAGCAAGCTCTGTCCTAGGCAAAGGTCAGTCTTCTCCTGAGGGGATGTGAGCATTACTTGGGCTGGGGGGGGGGGGGATTCAGCACCACTGGCACCCAGAGTGGACAAGGACTTCTAGGTGACCTAGAGAGGACAGAGGAGAAGCTCTTCAGGTCTGCCCCGTCCCTCGTACAGATCTGCCCACCAGGCACTGTGCTAGGCTCTGGAGAGACAAGTACAGAGAATGAAACCATCCCTGCTTCCCATGAGCTTGCATTCTATTTATGTATCTTGCTGAAGGTTTAAAGCTCTTTACAAATACTATCTCTCCTGTCCTCTTCTCTCTACCTCCTGCCCCCCTCTCAGGCAGAATTGGTAGTGTCTGTGGACGTGGGTTCAAATCTTGACACTTCCACTTCCTATTTGCGTATACTTTGGGCAATCCACTTAACTTCTCTGGGACTCACTTTCCTCATCTGTAAAATGGGGGAGTTGGACTCCCAGGTCTCTTCCAGCTAGGCTACAAACCAGTGAGGGACTCTATGGTAGCTGCAATTCAGTGGCCTACCAGCAGGGTGCAGCAAAGAGCATCAGAACCCAGCAAGGGGATCTTGGCTGTGACTTCCCAGCCACACAGTAGCCCACAGCGTGATGACGTCACCAGGCCAGTAAGAGCAGGAATCCTTTTGTTTTCCATTGATCCCACAAGAAATTTATCAGTGACTCAGACCAGGGTCAAGCTCTTAGCTCTCCTTTCAGCCATGGCGCGCTTCCCGTTGCATGCCCTGGATTGGTGATTTACACCGCCTGGGAAAGACAGAAATCTTGTTTCTAGTGCAGGTGAAGGCAAATAAAAATCACCAAAGAGATTTGTGAAACATCAAATCACCCTAAACCTTGTCCAATCAATCAATAAGCATGTATTAAATGCTCATAACTACAACTGCCAGCTAGCATTTATATTTTGCTTCAAGGTTTGCAATGTGCTTAATATATGCTATCACATTTAATCCTCACGACAACCTGGGAGGTAGGAACTGTCATTATTCCCATTTTATAGATGGAGAAACTGAGGCATAGAGTGGTTAAATGATTTGCCCAGGATCCCACAGCTAGTCAGTGTCTGAGGGAGGATTCAAACTCAAGTCTTACTGACTCCAAGTCCAGCTGTATGCACTACATCACCTGGCTGACACATAGCAGGTTCTTGATAAATGGTTGTTGACTGACTCTAGCATGTTACATGCGCTGTACTGTGTGCTGAGGACACATGAATGTATCCCTGCCATTGTGGCCAGGTGGCGATTGGGGCTTACTTTCCAACTGGTTTTTCTCTGGTCAGTGGTGTGGGGGCTGCCTTTGAGTTTCATGGTTGTTTTGTCCATGGGTGCTCCATCTACTGTTGTGAGAAGAAAACCCCCATGACACAGCCTCCTTCTGGGAGCATTTATAGTGAGATCTTGGCCAAATCACCTTATCTCAAAAGCAGAACATTGAAACCAAGACCATCTGGGAACATGCTTGAGGTGAATTCTTTGCATCAAGCTTTAGGTAGAGACCATGACCTGCCAGGGCTCCAAGGACACTATTCTCTAATATATTTATCAATTACTTTGATAAATGCATAGACAGCACTCATCAGTTTGCTGGGACAGCTGAGGCCTAGAAAGATAAAATCAGGATTCCAAAAGATGTTTATAGGCCAGTACATTGGACCAAATTTAATGAAGTGAAACTTAAGAATAAATGTAAAGCTTATATTTGCTTTGATTTCAAAAAACTGATTTCATAAGTACAAAATGAGGGATGAATGGTCAGATTTCAGTTTGTCTGAAAAGAATCTGGGGGTTTTGGTCAACCACAAGCTCAAGATGTGTGATAGAGAAGCCAAAATGCCCAATTTGTATTGAGAGAAGCATAGCTTCTGGCAATAAGAAGGGATGGTTGTGCCATCCTCTGCCCTGCCCAGATCACCCCCATAGGATTGTGTTCTATTCTGGGCATCACATTTTGTGAAGGAAATCAATAATCTGGAGAGTGTTCAAAGTGGGGCTACTATAATGGCAAAGGGCCTGGAGTCCGTGCTTTTTGAAAAGGAGTTGGAGATGTTTACTTCAGATCTATTGAAAGTCTTAAAATATTTGTGAAAAAGCTCTTTCCTTAAAAAGAGTATCCTATTACACTCCCATTATTTCAATCTACTCTATAGATCACCATCAACAGTGAATTATTGCCGGGCAACCACTGTGTGTGTAGTTCTTTGTAAAGCCTATGGATGCAGAGTAGCCATTCTCAAAGGGTGGTGCATGGACCTCTGGAGGTCCTTGAGATCCTTTTAGGAGATCTATGAGGTCAAAACTGTTTTCATAATAATTCTTATTTTTACTTGGTATATATTTGTATTTATTAACTTCATACTTATGTTACATATACTTACATATGTACTTGTTGTATCCTTCATTCGAATTTAAGTTTGAGTGGGATTGTTTTGGGTTTTTTTTTTTTTGGTATTTGTAGCCTCAGGGCCTAACACAGTACCCGGCACACAGTAGGTACCTCATTTTTTTCCACTTTTCCTTAGCCATTCTTTTCATATAAGGAGTTCTTTTCTAGGTAATTAATGTTCTAGGGTTTGTCAAACACTGGGTTAAATTCCTCTTCTTCTTTATCTACCAGTCTGTTCCAACGATCTCCTTTCTGTACTTGGTTCCTTGATACTGTTATTATCACCTAGAAATATTGTTGATTCTTGGGTGTTTATTTTGTAGCCTGAAACTTTGCTCGACACCCTTGTTCTCTCAGTTTTCTGTGCTGATTCCCTATGATTTTCGTTGCGCGGTGCCGGGGCTGCTGCCGGATCCTCCGCGGGGGCCCGGGCCGGGGGCGGCTCTGAAGAAGCGGAGGAAAGTCCGGCGCCGCTGTGCGGCCACTCGTCCCGCTCCATGGGCTCGCTCAGGCCAGCGCGGGGCCCGCAGCTCAGCCAGGGGAGGCTCCCCGGAGGCGGAGGCTGTCATGGCCCGGGCCGGGCCGAGCCGGGACAAGCTGGGCTAGGCTGAACTGCTCGGTGTTGGGCTGCAAGTTGCACTGGGTTCCCGAGGCTCTGGCGCTGATTGAAACTCCCTGGCCGAGCCTCGGCCCGGCCCCTCAGCACTGGCCAGCTCGCTCCCCCGACGTCACCGCGCCCAACTCTTTCGTAATAATTCTAAGACATCATTCGCCTATTAAAATATTCCTCTCTTTTTCCAACCACATATCTATGAAAGACTGAATGGCCTTTGTATGTGTCAATCAAAACAACATATTGCTACAGATATAATGCAGAAGCAGAAAGGAGAGTCCTTGCAAAAATGTGTGAAACAATTCCACTCTTATTCAATTTTTTGTTTGGGAAAATATAGTTTTGGGTTTCTTTTTTGGTTTGTTTTAGGCAATGGGGGTTAAGTGACTTGCCCAGCGTCACGCAGCTAGTAAGTGTCAAGTGTTTGGTCTGAGGTCGGGTTTGAACTCAGGTCCTGTTGACTTCAGGGTTGGTGCTCTATCCACTGCGCCACCTAGCTGCCCCTTTTGTTTTTTTTTTGAAATGTAGTATTTTTAAATAAAAGTTATTTATGTTAACACATAGTGGGTTTGGGTAGCTAGGTGGTGCAGTGGATAGTGTTGGCTTGGAATTCAGAGTCAGGAAGCGTCAGATATTTCCTAGCTATGTGACCCTGGGCAAGTCACTTAACTTTACTGAAGTTTCCTCATCTGTAAAATGAGTTGGAAAAGAAAATGGCAAACCACTCCTGTATCTTTGCTGAGAAAATCCCAAGTAGGGTCATGAAAAATTGGACATGACTGAAACAAGTGAACAACAGCAACAATAGTGAGTTTACTGTTGTTTCTTAAAATGAATAAATAAACATTAAAAATGATTAGTTTCAATTTCTATCACAGGAAATCAATAGATATAATCCACATAAATAAAAACTCTTTGGGATAGTCAATAACTTTTGAGAATGTAAAGGGATCCTGGGACCAAAAAATTTGGCAGTCAGTGATATTAAGATTCATTGGAACCATATTCCCTGTTCTCATGGATATTACATTTGAACATGGACAGAACTGCACTGGACCCATACTTGCAGCTATTCCAGTGCCTGCAAGGTCTTGGAGGAGCTAACACTCTGCTGGCGTAATCTTTGAGAACCAGCCTTGCCATTATGAGGCACAGAGTCAAATTCTAGTGGAAAAGCCTTGCATAATAGTTAACATTTTAAAATATTATTGTATTTGGTGTTAGGGTCAGAGTTACTTTCTGAATTATTTTAATTGTTGGCACTTTCTTTGTGATAACTCATATAAGAGGCTAATGTTACACTCCTCTAATGCATTCAGACCAATGGGCAAAATTAAATCTCTCTGTGGGGCTTTTATTTTGTCTATGCAGTTGAAGGCAGATAAACCTCATCACAGGCAAAAATTGAACATTGACACAACTTACTGGTGTTTCTGCCTTCTCTTTCCAAGTGCCAGGCTGACTTTATTGCTTTTCTTTTGTAGGATAGAAGTCTTAATAGGTCAGTGATGTGCTACATTGGGCAAATCCATATAATTTAAGTGTTCATGCTATTTTCATGGACAAGTTGGAGTTGGACAGCTAGTTTGTTACATGGAATGGAGTGGGATGCTGTAACTTATTGAATCAACATGCTCACAGAAATGAGTGGTTCAATGCCAACTTGGAGGGAAGTCTTCGATGGCATGCCCTAGGGCTGTTTCTTGGTCCTTACTATTCAATTTACCTTTGATGACTGGGATGAAGACACAGGAGGAGTGCTGAGCCAATTTGAAAAAAGGCATAGGATGGCAGAAACAGGGTGCAAAAATACCTTGACAGGTTAGAACAAGAGACTGAATATAACATGATGAAAGTGAATAGGAATAAACATAAAGCCTTTCATTTAGGCACCATAATGTCAACTGCACAAATACAATATAAAGGACATGTGGTTTAGTTCATATGAAAAACATTTAGTCAGAAGTATGATGTGTTTGTCAAAAAACAGACAAAACAGCTAATGCAATGTTAGGAGGCATTTATAGCCATTCTGAATCAAGGATCTGCTGTCTATGATGTTGGTGAGACCACATTGGAATATCATGGTTGGTTTTGGCTATTGTTTTTAAAAAGAGACATTGACCAATTGGAGCATGTCTAGAGGAGTGTGACCAGGACTGTGAAGAATCTTTCAATTATGTCATGAAAAGAGTGACTGAAGGAACTGGGTTATTTAACCTAGAGGGAAAAAAAAGAGATGAACAGAGAATAACCATCTTCAGTATTTGAAAGACAGTCACAAAGTGACTCTAGGAGGCAGAGCCAAGAACAATTGATGGAATTTACAAAGAGGCAGGTTTGGACTAAATATGAGAGTAGCCTGATGTGCCTGTCTGGTATAGGCTTGAGGTTGAAGGTGAAAACAAAGGGGGAAGGATGTTATCTCCCTCCTCTGGTTCCAACTGTTGGGATTTGGGGAGAGCTAGGATTTTCACAGACATTCTCTTCTTTCCTTCCACTGGACAATTCTTACTCCCTAAGCTCAACAAGTTTTCTCTGCAGATGTTGAGGGGTGAAGAGAAGAGCAAAAGAAAAAATGAATGAATAAACAGAACTTGACTACCTAGCCTTTTCCCAGGCAGCAAATGATGCTTTAGCTTGAGGGCAGAAAGCCCATGGATATATTTATGGTGATATTTTACAAAGTTTATTCCAAAAATTATTAATTATCAAACCTATATGATTCTCATTGTTAGCTCAGAGCTCCCAGGTAGGACTGAAAAAGAAAACCAAGGACTTTTAGACAGAGGGATTTGATCTGTGATTTTTCTGTATACAGTACCAACACTATTCCCTTTCTCCTTATATCTCCATTTGCAATTAAGGATACACATGAATAAAAAAATAAAATCCATCTTATTTTTAATGAGAGTAGGAAGCTTTAAATTACTAATAAATCAAGAATTTTGGGCAAAATTAGACCAGAGAAAGTTTGGAGTAAATTTCTCTCGGGCAGAGTAAGGGAGGAAATAAGGGAAATTAAATTACATCACCACCTTTTCTTGGTCTCCCTGGGATAAACAGTTTAATCAGTCTCCCTAGCATGTTTTAGCCATATTCTTCATTAGGGAGCCTATGGGAGGCAGTCCCTGCAACACCTAGCCTCTAGTCTCTGGCCTCACATTGTAAAGTGCCTCTTCAAGCTTTCCTCACTCCCTTAGCTTTGTATGTGCCTTGAAACATTTCCTTCTGCAAGTGAAACTCCTTGAACCTCTTTTTTCATGTTGGTGTCCTTTCTCTCATTTCAGGAATCCAGACAAGGTTCCATTCTGACTAGCAACATTT